CGAAATGTCATAAAAATAATATGCCTGTCGGATAAACTTTATCAAATACGTATTTTTCTGAGATCCGTGAACAAAAGATATAATAATAATTCACATGGGGAATCAAGAATATAGACACCCATGGTATTTCTATGAATGGAGTCATTTATGGAAGTTGCGTATTTTGCTCGTTTCATTGTATTATTTGGATCATGCCAAAAAGAAAGAAGGGATAACCTTAACATACCTGAACTGATTCTCTTGACAATCCCTTTAACACCGTCTTTTGCGATGAAACACGTAACGGCGGATCGAAGTAGGAAATAATTCCTATGAAATACCCGAAGCAATAACGTTGCTATGCAGCTTTTCCTTAAGAACTTAGCAATAACGTTGCTATTTGGAAAATCATCTTTGTTGAACTCTTTCTTAAGAGATAAGAAATAACATTACTGTGTAAGGAATCTTGGCTGAAACTCTTAGAAAGAACGTTATTTTTTCCTGAAATCCTTTCTTAAGAGATTATAAATGTTATCCTTACTTTTAGGTAGGCCCCACATAATAATGACTAAGCCTTATAATCTTACTCAATTGTGCCACCTTTCCATTATAACATAAGAGTCACTAAATAAAATAAAAAGGGCTGCCACGTGAAAGACCAATTATCCTTATCCCACTAAACTAATTAATTAGTTAATCTTCCACTAAAATCACTAATTACCAACATATTCACATAATTAAGAATTATCTCAAATTACTCAAAATACCACTTACTTTTAACACACCTTATACACCACCTTACTATCATGGTTATGTGGTACCTTGTATGACATTAGTCCATAAATACGGGGTATTATAGCTTGGACCGTATTTTATCTCAAACTTTGACGAACCCTTTTCTTTTGATTCGCTTACCCCCTCACCTTCACGAATTTACTTGTCACTTGTTTGAAATACCATAATGCTTATAATCTCAAAATAATCTTATTCTCGAACTTACGTCGATTAACTTACGACAAAACTTTAACGTACGAAAACGCGGGATGTAACATCTCATTTCCGAGCTTTCATCAATTTATTTATGGCATACTTTCACGTACGAAAATATGGGGTGTAACAAGAGGTCCAACAAAGCAATATAATAAATTATAAGCAGACGTGAAGTACACAACAATAATGGGGTAAATCTGTAAGTTACCTAACCTTCCAAATATTTCTTTTAAAGTATGAATTTCTCAGTCTTGTATTCTACCTCAACAACTCAGCTGTATCAAGTACCAATAACAAATGGATAAGAAGTACCATATAAAATATCGGGCATCAGTGGAAAGATAATCTCGTGAATGTTCGGACTACGAGCGATATAACACACGATTATACCGAGGTTATTCGGCCCGATCCATAATAATGCGTACACTGCCAAGTGTCAAGCGGCATGAACTATAGATGCATCTATTATACTGCCGAGACGTTCGGCCCACTCCACAAGAAAAGAAGGAACTTATCGAATTATGAGACAGTGCTTACAATACAGTACATGAGTATNATTAATTAAGCCAGCAGAATGAGTTTAAATAATTCAAATATTACATGATAAAGTCCTAAGTCTACCCGGACATAAACATGTTTAGCTACGTACAGACTCTCATCACCTTGTGCGTACGTAGCACCCGCAACTAGTAGCACACAACAATTACTTTACCTAGGGGCATTTTCCCCCTCACAAGGTTTAGACAGGAGACTTACCTCGCTCCCAAGTTCCATAACCGGCTCCAATGCCTCTTTAACTTCTCGACTCAAAGTCAAACGATCCGAAACTAGTCAAACAATGTGCAATTCAATCAAAATATACTCCAAAGCTCATGATTAATCAATTTATAACAATTTCTAACCCCACTCGAAAAGTCAATAAAGTCAACCCCTCGGGCCCACGTGCCCGGATTCCGAGATTTTTGAAGATAAACTTTACCCATAATATTACGAACTCAAATATATAATTTATTCCCAATTCCATGTCCAAAATCGTGGTAAAAATCCAAAATTATCAATTCTAGGTTTCTCCTTAAATTTTCCTAATTTCCAAGAATTTCCATGTTAAAAACCTTTATAAAATCCAAGTATTTAACTTGTAATAGGGGGAAATCACTTACCTCGAGTTGCTTGATGAAACCCCCCTCAAGATAGCTCCCTAAATTCGGCCATCCAAGTGAGAAATAAGAGCTAAGTCTCGATTTAAAAGAACCCGTCTGCCCAACGAATTTTGCACCAGCGGACATCCAGCTGCATATGCGGCGTTGCTTTTGCGACAAAAACCTTGCTTCTGCGGAGAAGCACTGGAGGCCATCTCTCGCACCTGCGGAAAATCCCGTTTCTGCGCAAACGCAGGTGCGATTTAAATTTTTTGCTTTTGTGCTGCCTTTTGCTTCTGTGATTGTGGATTCTGCTTATGCGGACGCGCAGATGCGCCCAACATTCCGCTCCTGTGGATCCCCCCCCTCCCCAGTCCAATTTCGCTCCTGCGACCAAAGGTGTCGCTTCTGCGCTTGCGCAGATGTGACCAAAAACTCCGCGCCTGCGATACTCTGCTCCCAGCTCCTATTGCGCTCCTGCGCTTCGTCTGTCGCTTCAGCAGCTCCGCACATGCGCCTAAATTTCTGCAGGTGCGGTTACACCAGAACTTGGCCAAAACCAGCATGTCCTAAATTCCAAGTTTCAATCTGTTTCAAACCCGAGGCCCTCGGGACCCCATCCAAATGTACCAACTAGTGCCAAAACATAACACGAACCTACTTGGGGTCTCAAATCACACCACCACCACTACCACCACCACCACCAACAACCCAGTATAATCCCACTAGTGGGATCTGGGGAGGGTAGTTTGTACGCAGACCTTACCTCTACCCTGGGGTAGAGAGGTTGTTTCCGATAGACCCTCAACTCCCTCCCTCCAAGAACTCCCTACCTTGCTCTTAGGGTGACTCGAACTCACAACCTCTTGGTTGAAAGTGGAGGGTGCTCACCGCTAGAGTAATCCACTCTTCTCAAATCACACCAAACAACATCAAAAATTGCGAATCGACGATCGAAACCTTTCTTTAAACTTTTAAACTTCGACGAACACGTCCGAATTATATCAAAACATTCCGGAATGACGCGGAACTTTGCGCACATGTCATAAATCACAATACGAAACTATCCCAAGGCTCGAAATCCCAAACGGATATCGATAACACCAAAATTCACTTCAAGTCAAACTTAAGAAATTCTTAAACTTTCAAAATGCCAACCTTCCACAATAGGTGTTGAAACGCTCCTGAACCACCCGATACTCAACCCGAACATACGCCTAAGTCCGAAATCATCATACGAACCTATTGGAGCCTTCAAATCCCGATTCCAAGGTTGTTTACTCAAAAGTCAACCCTTTGTCAACTCTTCCAACTTAAAGCTTTCGAACTGAGAATTTTCCTTGCGAAACCATTCCGAGCTTCCCGAAATTCAATTCCGATCACGCGTACAAGTCATAAAACATGAAGTGAAACTACTCGAGACCTCAAACCGTCGAACGACGCGCTAAAGCTCAAAATGACCGGTCGGGTCATTACAATTATATTATCATGTATATAACTTGAACCTAAAGAATTTCCAATTCGATAGTACTTCTTTATTGCTCACATTTTTTTTCAAATTTGAAATGGAAAAAGAATCATTAGATTTGAAATAAACCAATGTATATCAGCTATATGTATAATTCGTAACTGCCTATTTATTTTTACCTTTATTAAGGAGCTTACCTTTTCTGGATTCCTCTCCTTTTGGAGTGAACCGGAAAGGGGCCAGGCTGAAGACCCGAGAACCCGAGGACAATTCAAAATTTAACTACTCATAAAAACCCCCGCCTGTCTCCACATTCAAATTAAAACGGTAAAGATAAAAAAGTTCACCATTTTCTCAGTTTCAGACAAATCGATCGGAATCTGACCGGAAAATGGAACAGAAGAAAGCGTCACAAACGTCATGCATCCCATCACCCTTCCAGGACCTCCCATTTAAAGAAATCTCCAATTTCAAAACTCCAAAGCCTTCACGATATGCAGCAAAGTTCAGTTCTCCTTCTCCTACACCGGTTCACCGCCAGCCGGAGTTCTTCACCGCCTCTAAAACCCCGCCGGTATCCTCCATACGCCGTCGTGGAATCATGAAGCCGTCGGCGGTGAAGTCGAGTGCTGCTGCTCGAAGATTAAAGGCGTTCGAGCTCGAGCAAGCGAAATCAGCACGAAAGGCGTTGATTAACAAAGAGAGATCGTTGAAATCACTCGCGAAGTCGCTTACCGTGTGGCTGAATTTCTTGTTTGAAAACCCTACCTCTTGTGGCTGCGATGTCTCGAGTTTCACCGGAGGATTTGAGACGTCCAATCGGCTGCCGTGTGTTGCCGGAAATGGGAAGAGGAGGGAGAGTGAGGCAGGGCACAACACTGTTGGAGTTGATGTGCTGTGGCGAGGGCCCAAGAGGCAGAGGCATTTATCCTCAAATTTTGAAGATGAAGAGACAACAGCATTTTCAGATTCCATGTTTACGGGACTTAAAGCTTCGTTGACTGAGATTTGCAGCTTTGATGATTTAAAGGAGAGGATGAGTGGTTACCTCAGCTTGGGAAGCTGTAAAGAGGTTTTTGTTACAATGACTCAAGTAACAAAGGTAAAGTATGGAGATGCTAAATTCACAATTGAATCACTTTGTAAAGCCGTTTTCTGTTGAATGATTGGATAATGGGCTTAATCTGTTTTAAAATAATATGAGATGCTTGCTGACGAAACTCCGCCTTCACAAAGAATGATTGGTCTCAAGCTTGATTAAATGACTAGGGTTGTGGTAGATTGAAACTAAAGAAATAGTCAAACTATGAGAACCTCTAGTCTCGAGAACCCTAATTTCCCTCAAAAGGCAAATTGTTTTATATTGGACTGAATCAGCTGAAAAGAACTAATGAGGCATAATTGATTGATTGATTTGATGATGCTTTTTCTAAGTTACTCTACTGCTAATATTTACTCAAGGAGATGATAGCGTGTTTTATATTGGAATCAAGATCTTAGGCACCAATCTAAAGTAATCTGAAGCTTCACAACATGTTTTAGGAGTGTAATTAGTGCGAACTGAGAACTGTAAAAGTGTGACTGTGCATGCTTTAGCTAACAATACCATGATTCAACCTATAAATATTATTATCACAGAATATAATATATGCCTACTTTATCATGGTTTGAATTATGGTCATTTGTTAAATTTCTCCTGCTTTGGTTATCTTTCAGACCATTGATGAAGGACGCCTGAAAATGAGAGCTCATTGTCCCATGGTAACCGATGTTGGAATGAAGGAGAAAGCCTTGAGAACTCTTATGTGTTATAACCCCGTTTGGCTTCGGATTGGATTGTACATACTCTTGGGGGGTGACACCTTGTTACCAAATGGAGATGTCAATTCTGAACAAGAAATTGCCTTCTTGAAGATAGTGCTTGATAAGCAGTTTTTCTCACATGTTGGTCTAGCAAAGACCTATGCTTATAACAAGTTAGTGGAGGGTTTATATAGACCTGGATACTATGAAAAGTTAGGCAATATTGTCTTGAAGAGATTTTTGTTGCTTGTTCTCATACTAGATAGAGTCAAAACTCAGAGTAGTCTGCCACTTAAATATGGTATTGACGCACAAGATGGAGGATCTCCTCTATTGTTCTCTTTGCAATCAGATGCTAAATCTAGCCGTCAACTGATCAACAGTAATTACTTGTTTACTCTTCATATTTTTCTTCTGTAGCTTGTTTACAAGACCTTTCTATTCTAACTCGTGTATTAACATATCCATATCTTAAAAACATTTTAGAGTTCTTATCATCCGATGTGATGCATGGTGAAGGCAATCTACTTGCGCATCTTGTCATCGTAGGCTATAAAGTGACATATCAACAGGTAAGCATGTCTATTAATGAACTTAGTTTGCTAGTTTATATGCTTTTACTACATGGTTGACTTTTTCTGGTTACCGGGTTGTCTCATGTTTAAGTAGGACCGAGTTGAGCCCTCGTTTAACTATGGGTTGTCTCTTCGTTACCGGGCGCTCTCTTGTCTTCTGTTTACTTTTACGGCACGGTTGACATCATTCATATGTGTTGCAGTATAGGTCTCTGATTATTGTGGCCAACTGATATTGTCTGGTGCAGAATCCTTTGCTTGAGTATCACTTTGGTGTGGCTGATTTATTTAAGGACCTTCAGGATGGCATTCGACTTTGCAGAGCCATTCAACTCTTGCAACATGATCCTTCTATCCTCTCGGTTAGCTTATAAATGATTGTCTTTCCTTCCTTTCCTTTCGTATGTGTTAGATTGGTTCCCATTTCTACAGAAGCTGTCACAATTGGAAACATAAGGCTTGTTACTATGTGCTGTTCTATGTCAGAAAATGGTAGTTCCCTCAGATACTCGCAAGAAGAGTCTGGTGAACTGTGGCACAGTTCTACAATTTCTCAGGGAGGCAGGTGTCCCATTGTGTGATCAAGATGGAACACTTATTATGGCAGAAGACATCGTTGATGGAGACAAGGAGCTCACCATTTCATTGCTCTGGAACATCTTTGTGCACTTGCAGGTGAATTTTAGTATTCCTAGTGACTATTTCATCTATGTCAGTACACGTTAAAAACTTAACCTTATTTTTAACGAGGTATGATCTTTTACCTGTTGCTTTTATATAACTAAAATAGTTATGCTAAATCCATTCTCAGTTTACTTAGTTGTACTTTGCTTCCTAACTATTATAAAATTTGTTGTTAGCTACAGGAATTATACTCTATACTTTTGTCACGACCCAAAATCCCACCACATGAGTCGTGATGGCACCTAGTCTGTAAGACTAGGTAAGCCGATTTCCATTGCATTTTTGAAGCCATTTTTTTTTTGAATTAAATAAATAATCAAAACTAATAGCGTAAATAATTACAATATAGAACCTCCCAAGACTGGTAGTACTGAATCACGAACTCTAACTGAATACATGGAATGATCACGAGGACCGA